TCTATCTATCTATCTATCTATCTATCTATCTATCTATCTATCTATCTATCTATCTATCTATCTATCTATCTATCTATAGAAATAGATCTATTAAAATAGATCTATCTAGATCGAGCCATCTGTCTAACAGAATAGATCTATCTATATAGATAGATCTATCAATAGAAATAGATCTATCTATATGGATATATCTATCTATCTATAGAAATAGATCTATATACATGCATATACCTATCTATCTATAGAAATAGATCTATACATATAGATATATTTATCTATCAATAGAAATAGATCTATCTATATGGATATATCTATCTATCTATAGAAATAGATCTATCTATATAGAGATATCTGTCTATCTATAGAAATAGACCTATACATATAGATATATTTATCTATCAATAGAAATAGATCTATCTAAATCGATAGATCTATCTATCTATAGACATAGATCTATCTATATGGATAGATCTATCTATCTATAGAAATAGATCTATCTATATAGAGCTATCTGTCTATCTATAGAAATAGATTTATACATATAGATATATTTATCTATCAATAGAAATAGATCTATCTGTATGTATGTATCTATCTATCTCGAAATAGATCTATCTTTATAGATCTATCTATCTATAGATATAGATCTATCTATAGATATAGATAGATCTATAGATATAGATAGATAGATCAAAAGAAATAGATCTATCTATTTATCTATAGATAGATCTATCTATCTATAGATCTATATAGATAGATATATAAAGATCTATCTATATAGATCTATCTATATAGATTTATATAGATCTATGTATATAGATTTTTATAGATCTATCCATATAGATCTATCTATATAGATTTTTATAGATCTATCCATATAGATCTATCTATATAGATTTTTATAGATCTATCCATATAGATCTATCTGTCTGGCTGCAGGTTGTGGGAAAAACAAGCCTCCCTCCCCCCTCCTCCTCCCCCCTGGTGAGGGAGGGTTCAGCGGGGCTGATCTGAGCGCCGCCCTCCACTAAACCCATGAACTTTGTCACATTTCTTTCTGTTTTCGGAGGGAGGCTCCAGCTGCTCTGCCTGCTCTGCTCTGCTCTGCCTGCTCTGCCTGCCTGCTCTGCTCTGCCTGCCTGCAGACATGTCCATGTGGCTGACCGCTGCGCTCGGCCTGGCCCTCCTCTCCTATGCGTACATCAGGACTTTCCTCCCGTATTTCTGGGATGACTGCGTCTCTATGCTGAGGAGCCTCAAGCTGAGCTTCAGGCTGATCAGCTACAAGAAGCGCAAACCTTTCTACAGCATCCTGGAGTGTTTCCTGGACGCAGCGAGGAGACACCCCACCAAGGTCTTCATCCACTTCGAGGGGCGCGCCTTCTCCTACGCACAGGTGGACAGGCAGAGCAACCAGGTGGCCAGAGCCCTGCAGGCTGAAGCCCGGCTGAAGGAGGGGGACACGGTGGCTCTGTTTCTGCCAAACGAGCCCAACTTCGTGTTGTCTTGGCTCGGTTTGGCCAAGCTGGGCTGCCCGGCCTCTCTGCTCAACTTCAACATCAGATCCAAGTCCCTGCTGCACTGCTTCTCCTGCTGCGGGGCCAAAGTGCTGCTCACCTCTCCAGGTCAGATTATTAAAACATGTCATCAAACTATGCAGCTGCACAGCAGGGTCTATCAGCCACTATCTAATTCACTCACAGGCTTGCAGGCAGCAATCAAAGTCCACTAATCAGTCACTGATAGGTTCATGTTGCGCAAATATGGTTTCCTGCTGCCAAACTTTTACGCACGTCCGAGGAAACGATCCTTTAAAATGAAGGAACATATTGTTCCTTAGAAACACAATCAGGCATTGCTTTACCAGTTTCAGCATGTTAACAGCAAGCATGGTGGCTTGGCTTTAAAAACAAGGGAAACTCAGAGCTGCAACACTTTAAACAACTCAAGCCTTTCTGTAAAATCATTCACTCCCTTTGGATAAAACGGTTTTTACTCAGCTTTGATTTTATTTTATTGTAATTGTTTTAACTAAAATAAGCTCAATCATTCCACTTTAATAAGCAATTGGTGACATCACATCTGGAATATCAGTTTTTTTCTTCTTTTTATTTGTTTG